GCTCTCGTGACCGACACCCCCTGCGGGAGCTCCTCGCTCACCACTGCCACGCTCTCATCACCGACATCACCTGCGGGAGCTCCTTGCTCACCACTGCCACGCTCTCATCACCGACATCACCTGCGGGAGCTCCCCGCTCACCACTGCCACGCTCCTGCCACCGTCATCACCTGCGGGAGCTCCTTCCTTGCCACTGCCACACTCCTGTCACCGACACCACCTATGGGAGCTCCTCGCTCACCACTGCCACGCTCCCATCACTGACACCACCTGCGGGAGCTCCTCGCTCACCACTGCCACGCTCCTGTCACCGACACCACCTATGGGAGCTCCCCGCTCACCACTGCCACGCTCCTGTCACCGACATCACCTGCGGGAGCTCCTCGCTCGCCACTGCCACCCTCCCATCACCGACACCACCTGTGGGAGCTCCCCGCTCACCACTGCCACGCTCCCATCATTGACACCACCTGCAGGAGCTCCTCGCTTGCCACCGCCACGCTCCCGTCACCGACACCACCTGCGGGAGCTTGCCACTCGCCACCGCCACGCTCCTGCCACAGACAGCGCCCCAGCTGCATGTGGAAGCTCCACGTTTGCTGCTGCCATGCTCCTGCCACCAACGGTGCTGTGGCCACCTACGGGAGCTTGCCGTGCCCTGCCAGCCTCCAAGGGCATGCAGCGTTCATGCCACCACCTCTTACTACCCTCCTAGTGAGAAAGTTTCTCCTAGTATCTACGCCAGCAGTTCCCAAACTCTGAGAGATGTCGTACCACCAGTTGAAAGCGATACAACCTTAAGTACCACCAGCAAATTTTTCAGTTCGACCTTAAGTACCACCAGCAAGTTTTTGTCATATAAAGTAATTATAATAAATCTCTTAAGGTGTACCACTGACAGGTGTTTTGGTGGTAGGCGTACCACAGATTGGGAACTGCTGGTCTAACCTAATGGGGGACCCAAAACTGAACACAGGACGCCAGATGTGGCCTCACCAGTGCTGAACAGAAGGGAATAATCACTTCCCTTGACTTGCTGGCAACACTCCTACCAATGCAGCCCAGGATGCCGTTAGCCTTCTTGGCAACAAGTGCACACTGTTGGCTCATTCAGCTTATTGTCCACTGTAACCCCCAGGGCGTTTTCTGAAGAGTTGCTGCTTAGATAGTCAGTCCCTGGCCTGTATCAGTGCATGGGATTGTTCTGTCCTAAGTGCAGGATTTTGCACTTGTCCTTATTGACGTCATGAGATTTCTGTTGGTCCAGTCCTCCCATTTGTCCAGGTCTCTCTGAATCCTAGCCCTACCCTTCAGCATATCTACTACTCCCCCTCTGCCCACCCCCTAAGTTGGCTGTCATGTGCAAACTTACTGAGAGTGCACTCCATCTCATTTTCCAGGTCGCTGATGAAGACAGTGAAAAGGAACAGCCCTAGGACCACTTGATACTGGCTGTCAATTAGACATTGAGTCTTTGATTACTACCCTTGCTTTGAGTCTTTGATTACTACCCTTGGAGCCCAGTGATCCAGCCAGTTTTTTATCCACCTTACAGTCCATTCATCCAACCCGGACTTCCTCAGTTTGCTTGCAAGAATGTTTTGGGAGACCGTATCAAAAGCCTTGCTAAAGTCAAGGTATATCTTGGCCGCTGGTCTCCCCACATCCACAGAGCCAGTCATCTCATCATAGAAGGCAGTCAGGTTGGTCAGGCACGACTTGCCCCTGGTGAATCCATGCTGACTGTTTCTAATCACCTTCTCCTCCAAGTGCTTAGAAATGGATTCCTTGAGGATCTGCTCCATGGTTTTTCCAGGGACGGAGGTGAGGCTGACTGGTCTGTAGTTCTCCAGATCCTCCTTCTTCCCTTTCTCAGGAAGGCCCAGCTTCTTTAATGTCTTCCCTTATGGAAACCCCTCCATACTGCTAATCATCCTTGTTGCCCTTCTCCGGACCTCTTCTAGTTCTTCTATATCTTTTTTGAGGTGTGGAGACCAGAACTGAGCACACTGTTTGAGGTATGGACATACCACAGACATATAAAGGGGTATAATGACACTCTCCATTTTATTTTAATCCCTAACATTTTGTTTGCCCTTTTGCTGGCTCCTGAGCACCGAGGTAAAGTTTTTAGAGAACTGTCCACAGTGACTCCCATATCTTTTTCCTTGTGCCTTACAGACCAGTGATTTTTCAGCCAGGGTGCCAGGGCACCCAGGGTACTGCCACATCCTTTGAAAGGTGTCAAGAGATGTGAGTAAATAAGTGGGGTGTTAGGAGATAAGCAGATAAGCCAAATGGATAAAGGTAGCTCAGGCTGTCCCTGTCCAGACAATTCCCTGCTCCTACTGTCCTTTGTAAGGAAGTAAGTACTGTAACATATAAATAGGTTTTGAAAATGGGGGCAACTCAATTCACAAAAGTTATAGAGGGGTGCCTTGAGTCCGCTGAGGATGCCTCCTGTCCAAAAAGGTCGAGAACCACTGTTACAGGCTCACCAGATTAGAGAGATACAGCACAAGCTTTTCTGGGCTGAAGCTCGGCATCATCAGAGGCTGGAGAAGCAGGGCTAGTCTGAGCACCACTGAAGAGGATACAGCAGACTAATTTTGTCTGTCCTAAGCTATCATGACAGATAAGGAGCATACTGCAGGACATGATTCAAGTTATACTGTAGTTTTACATGCACAGGTTCCCCAGCAATTCCAAAAGGTGGGAGTGAAATACCTGTAATAAACTCCATAGGGTTGTGCATTTGATTTTTCACCCCTCTAATCCTTTCCAGTCACCTGAATCCTAGCCTCACTTCCCATTGTGGCATACTTTGGAAGGCTATGTCAAATTAGAAGTGATCTGCATAAGGTCACCACATATGTCTTTCAGTCAATGAGTCTTTTAATGAGCAAAATCAGTATTTTTACTATTCTTTTCTCAGACTCTCATACCACTAATTGGTCCATTTCGTTGTCACATCTGCATGGAATCCCATGCATTCTGCTCACACTGTTATATTTCTTTGTGATCATTATGCAGAGCAGGGGTTGGGAGCTCCCTGCTGCTAGGGCAGGGGGACATTGTCCCTGCCCAGGCTCCCATGGTGGAGCCTACCCTGGCAGCAGTCAGCTCCTGGGGGCAGGGAATAATCTCCTGCTCCCTGTTGACTGGGAGCACATTTGCTACCGATCGACTGCTTACATGTGCCGTACTGTGCAGTAATGACTCCTGAGTAAATTTGCTATTTGTATTTACAGGTAGCTAATTTACTCGCGAGTAGAACAGATTACTGTGCAGTAAGCATCTGCACGTGTAGACTGTGACGCTTACTGCTCAGTCATTTGCTCTGATCTTGAGTAAAGTGTCTTGTGTAAATGCTCCCACTGAATCCAAAGGATCAGGCCCCAGTAGAAGAGACTTAAGTTGTGACATTACTGAAAAAAAGTTTATTTTTCTGACTGAATTGCATGCTTTAGCTGTTCGGTTTTATAAAGTTAGGTAACCAGGATGTGCCACGTTCTGACTTGAGAAAGCTTTAAAAATGATGCAGATTTCTCTGCAAATGTTGTTGAGCAAAACCTGTTAGCCTGTACCTTTTACCAGTGCCTCTGGATCAGAGACTTATTAGCAAAACAGTTTTACACTCTGGCAAATGACTGTTCCATCATAGAATTTGCTTAGGGATGTAACACGGGGGAGAAAAATGGATAGACAATAACAGGCTCTCTAGTTTTTTTGAAACCAGTGAAAAGACTTTCTATTTCTTTCTATTAAGACTTTCTTTTCTTGTTTGCTGTACTAAAATGTTCATAAAATATGCTATTTACTGTGCATTCA